CCCCATCTCCTGTCCCTGTCCCCTGTCCCTTTTTCCTGTCCCCATCCCCATCCCCTGTCCCCTATCCCTGATCCCTGTCCTTGTCCCCATCCCTGTCCCCTGTTCTTTGTCCCTGTCTCGTGTCGTTTATCCCATTCCTTGTCCCCATCTCCTGTCCCTGTCCCCTGTCCCTTTTTCCTGTCCCTTGTCCCTGTCCCATCCCTGTCCCGTTCTTTGTCCCCATCCCCATCCCTGTCCCCTATCCCTGATCCCTGTCCCTTGTCCTGATCCCTGTCCCCTGTTCTTTGTCCCCATCCCTGTCCCCTGTCGTTTATCCCATCCGCTGTCCCCATCCCTGTCCCTGTCCCCTGTCCCTTGTCCCTGTCCCCATCCCTGTCCCCTATTGTCCTCTATCCCATCCTTTATCCCTTGCCCCTCTTCCTTGTCCCTTGTCCCCATCCCTTTATCCCCTGTCCCTGTCCCTTTCCCCTCATCCTTTGTCCTTGTCCCTTGTCCCTTATCCCGGATCACTTGTCCCCCGTCCCTATCCCCTAATCCTGTCCCTTGTGTCCGTCCCTTATCCCTTATCCCCTGTCCCTTATCCTCGTCCCCTAATCCCCTTGTCCCTGTCCCTGTCCCCTGTCCATCCCTTATCCCTCATCCTCTCTTTTCCCTGTCCCCTGTCCCTTTTGTCCGTTCCTTCTCCTTCTCCTGTCCCTGTCCCTTTTCCCATATTCCTTGTCCCTACCCCTTATCCCTGTCCCTTATCCCTTTTCCCTTTCCCTTTTCCCCTTTCCCATTTCCCTTTCCCATTTCCCATTTCCCTTCTCCCTTTCCCTTTCCTTTTCCCCTTTCCCTTATCCCTCATCCCTTGTCCCCTTTCCCTTTTCCTTTTCCCATTTCCCTTTCCCATTCCCCTTTTCCGTTTATTCTTTTCCCTTTTCCTTTCCCTTTTCCATTTCCCTTTTCCTTTTCCCATTCCCCTTTTCCCATCCCCCTTTTCCTCTTTTCCCTTTCCCTTTATCCCTTTATCCCTTTTCCATTTCCCATTTCCCTTTCCCCTTTTTCCTTTTTCCTTTTCCCTTTCCTATTTCCCTTTCCCTTTATCCCTTTTCCCTATTCCACTTTTCCCTTTTCCCCTTCCCATTTCCCTTTCCCCTTTTCCCCTTCTCCCTTTCCCTTTCCCTTTCCCCTTTTTCCTTTTCCTTTTCCTTTTCCTTTCCCCTTTTCCTTTTCCTTTTCCTTTTCCTTTTCCTTTTCCTTTTTCCCATTTCCCCTTTCCCTTTTTCCCATTTCCCCATTCCCAGTCCCCATTCCCAGGACTGCCCCGACCCCGCTGTCCCCGGGAGCCCCTCGGTGTCCCCAAAGTCCCCATTCCCTCCCCGAACCCCAATAAAATCCTCCCCAAAATCACGGATTTGTGGATTCCTGGAATTCTGGGACACTTTGGGCGGGAAGGGACCCCAAATCCCATCCCATTCCAAGGGCGGGGATTCCTTGGGATTTGGGGAAGGAATTCCTGGCTGGGATGGAATTCCCAGGGAATGTCCCAGGATGGATTTGGGATGGTGGGAATTGTTGGGATTGGAGCGGGATGGGATTTCAGGTCCCTTTCCATCCCAAATCCCGGGATTCCAGCACCATTCCCGGTATTCCCAGTCCTCGGGGATAAATCGGGATCCAGCGGTGCCGGAAGCGAGAGGAACCCACGGAACCCGCGGAATGTGGGGCCGCTCTGGGCACGGGAAGAGCTGATCCCGATCTGATCCTGATCCCGATCCTGATCCCAATCCTGATCCAAATCCCGATCCTGATCCGATCCCGATCCAATCCGACCCCAATCCCAATCCCAATCCTGATCCACTCCCAATCCCAATCCCAATCTCGATCCTGATCCAATCCCCATCCCCATCCTGATCCAATCGCGATCCGATCCTAATCCCGATCCAATCCCGATGTGATCCCGATCCAGTCCCTGTCCTGATCCAATCCTGATCCCGATCTGGTCCCGATCCCGATCCAATCCCAATCCCGGTCCTGATCCCAATCCCGATCCAATCCCAATCCAATCCTGATCCAATCCCGATCCAATCCCAATAGCGATCCCGATCCAGTCCCTGTCCCGATCCAATCCTGATCCCGATCTGGTCCCGATCCCGATCCAGTCCCAATCTCAGTCCTGATCCAATGCCGATCCTGATCCCGATCCAATCTCGATCCAATCCCAATCCTGATCCGATACAGATCCTGATCCAATCTTGATCCCAATCCCGATCCCAATCCCAATCCCAATCCGATCCTGACCCCGATCCTGATCCAGTCCCTATCCTGATCCCGATCCGATCCTGATCCCGATCATGATCCCGATCTGATCTGATCCCGATCCCAATCTAATCCTGATCCCAACCCGATCTGATCCGATCCGATCCCCATCCCCATCCCGATCCGATCCCTCGGGAATTCCCGCTGCGGCGGCTCCGTGTCCATGGAAACGGGGGTGGGGG